TTTTTTTTAAGATTTTATATGTTTATGCATATAGAACTGGGGTACAGACCAGAGGTGCGGGGTGGTGAGAGGACTCCCCAGAGACAGAGCGGGGAGCAGAACAGGCAGACTGACTAAAACCCACTGCTGAAGGAGCAGCGGAGACAGGAGGGGTTTCTGCGCCCTGTGGGTCACTCTCTGGCCGGGGATCGAACTCAGGCAGCAGTGGCTGTGGATAGCTTCACAGTGGGGAGACTTGACCCGTTTCACCACCAGGGAGGGTCCTAATTTTTTAATCTGTTTGTCAAAATCCCTGAGTAAGAATTCATGTTGGAACAGCTTTGGGTTCATAATTTAACTCGGGGGAGACTGACGTCCTCACTCCTTGGAGTCTTCTGGTCAGGGCAAGCCAGGGCCGTCACATCTTGAGGCCTCCTTGCCTGGCTTCCAGCGAAGTCTCCTGTGACCGCCAGGGGGAGATGTAGTGTGACTGTTCGGGCACTCATGTGGCGCCTGTCTGCAGTCCCAGGTCTGTCATCAGCTGTCAGTTCTACAACTATCACATGTCGCCATTTTCCATTCTTCCTTCTAGAATTCCTTGGTTTGCTTGCCCCACTGACTCCTTTAAATATAATTTTCTAAACAAAATGAACACGCTGACCATAGATCAGAGACATCGAGGGTGGCGGGAAGCGAGGGGTCACAGCAGGTCAAAAAAGGGACGGGACAGAGGAGCTGGACTCAGTGGGGTGGTGGGGACCTGGGGGCTGCACTCCGGGACGGAAATCCAATATGGTTCAACGTCAAACAGTACAAGGAAATACATATAACTAAACATTTTTGAACAAGAATTGCTTTCTTAGTTGTGAAAATAGATAAGACTTAAAACTAACCGTGGTGCAGGTTATCGGCACCCACCAAGTCCACCCGCACCGTTGTCCAGCCACCCCCGCTCCCCACTGAACTTTGCGCCTCGCAGAGCTGGAGCGCCGTCCCTGCGGCCGCTAGCCCTCGGCCCCTGCCAGCGGGTGGCCGCCACCCTGGGCCTGGTCTCGTCTGCCCCAGGCACATCCTCCCTGCAGCAGCTGTCGGAACAGCCTCCCCTAGAAGCCAGGGTAGCGTCTGCCTGCGACGTGCACCGTGTGCATCGTCCACGTGACCAGCAGTGGGGCCGTCCCGCCTGCTGGCTCCCGTGGGGTGACGCTCTCGCCCTGGTGTTTTAATCACTCCAGTTTCCCACCCCGTGCTTTCTCTCGCCTCCTCAGCTCGACTTCACCTACTGAGTTCCTTATTTCAATGACCAGTTCATTTTTTAAAATATTTATTTATGTTTACAGAACTGAGGTACAGGTCGGAGTTGTGGGGGGTGGGAGGATTCCCCAGAGACAGAGTGTGGAGCAAGACAGGCAGATGGACTGAAATACTGCTGAGGGGAGCAGCGGGCGGGTCAGGAGAGGTCTGCCGCACCCTGTGGGTCAGCTCGCTGCCTGGGGATCGAACTCGTGCCACGGCGGCCTCTGAGAGCTTCATCGTGCCATGCTTCAACCCGCTGGCCCAGGGAGGGCCCTGACTGATTCATTTTAACACGTTCGATCCACTGCTTTTCAGATCTTGCTTTGCTGCTGTCTTGAGTAATCTTTGTTGGGTACCATTTCTTGTTCTTCCTTTAATACTGTTTTGAGACTATTTCATGACATGAAAAATTGAAGACATTTTATAGCCTCTGTCTAATGCTGTTGCCTAGAGCCTGTGGCTTGTGAGTACAGCCCCCTGCTCTGGGGGTGACCTCCCCTTGGTGGGCTGGCCGAGGGGCTAGGGGCGGGCGTGCGGGGCCTGTTTAAGAAGCCCCTATGCCTCGGTCAGGCTCTGCCCGGCCTTGCTCGTGACCTCAACAGGGTGCTTTGTAAGTTTTGTTAAATCTGATGTTCGTTAGAACTATTACAAGAGACCCTTGATCAGCTTACCTAAGTTGCTCGGGCAGTTTGCCAGGACTGGTGGGTATCAGAAGGTTGTTAAGATTGGCTAGCTATCAAAGTGTATTGGCTTCTTTTGCTGCGTTGTTGATCTTTACTACCATGTCTTGAACATCACAGACATTTTCTATGTGCTGTCAAGTTCTTTCTGCTGACATTTCTTTTTTTTTTAATAATATAAGTTTATTTTTACATCATTTTGTACATTTTTTTTTCATCGCAATTATAATTCCCGTGGGTTTCCCATCATCTGCTGACATTTCTTTTTTTTTTTTAGTAATATAAGTTTATTCTTACATCATTTTGTACTTTTTTTTTTAATCTCAATTGTAATCCCCGTGGGTTTCCCATCATCTGCTGACATTTCTTTAGGAGTTCTACATCTGTGTGGATGAGTGGAGCTGGTCTTTACTTCTAACGTCCTCACCCAGTTTGGCCTTCAAGGCCGCTAAAACCCTAAGGTCCTGCATTTCGGGAACATTTTCCCGCTAGAGGTGGCCCCTCCCCAGCTCCCCACCACGGCTGCCCTGCAGGGGGCGCTCGCAGAGCCCATTCCCAGCCTGGCCACGCCCTGGGCCTCCTCAACCGTGGCCATGGGGAGTTTTAAGCTTCATGGCAGAGTGGTCACTGCAGCGGGAGACAGTGACCGCGGGTCTGTCTGTCCGGCGCTGGGTGACTCCTTAACGCACTTGTCTTTCTCGCCTGCAGGAAAGGGACCTTGCTGCTCAACAACATCTTCTCCATTGTGTCCTCGCTCCTAATGGGATGCAGTAAAGTCGCTAAGTCATTCGAGATGATCATCGTGGCTAGGTTTCTGGTGGGGATATGTGCAGGTAAACGGCGCAGCCCTGGCCGCCTGCCGTGTCCAGGCTCACGGAGGCGGGAGCGAGGCCCTGGGATGCAGAGCAGCCGGGTCCCTGGGTTCAGGCTGCTCCTGTCCCTCAGCCCCCCAAAAGCTAGCTCCCCAGCGCCTCCCCATGCAGCCCTGAGGCCCCGTCTCAGGTGGGCGCCCAGGTATGGTCACATGGTTTCCTGCAACGAAAGCTGTTCTTCAAAAGACTAAGAAACAAATATCCCGGGCCCAGGAGGTCCCTTGCCACCTGACCCTTTATCTCAGGATTTTTGAAACTGCAAGTCGGAACACTGGGGGGGGGGTCTGACACTGGGGGTGGGGGGCCTGTGTAGCAAGCAGTGTCTTCTTTTCTGCAACTCAAGTGCACTTTGTCACGCGTGGCACAGGTCAGAACAGCCTTTGACTTCGGCCTCACGCATCTACGGGGGAGCCAGGGTTGCAGTGAAATGTGTTCCTCTCTTTTTTCCCGCTGTGGGTCGTGGCCAGAAAGCACTTGAGAAATCATGTGACCCCCTCTCCCGGAAAGGCGCTAGGATGCAGCCCCTCACCTTTCTAGGGGAACTTGACATCTGCGGAGGGCGCGCATGGGTTCTGTTTCACTAACGCCATCAGTGCGCCTGCCGAGGAGGGCCCATCTTGCCTGGGGTCTCTCACCTCATAAATCAGCCCCCCACGCTCGGCTGACCGCCCCCAGGAGGTGACCAGCTGCAGCGACTGCTGAGTAGGACACAGGCTGTCGCTGCTGGACTGAGTTTTCCTGATCATGCTTCTCTTTCAACCCACCCCCCAGGTTTGTCTTCCAATGTTGTCCCCATGTACTTAGGGGAGCTGGCCCCCAAGAATCTGAGGGGAGCCCTTGGGGTGGTACCCCAGTTCTTCATTACCGTTGGCATCCTGGTGGCCCAGATCTTTGGTCTTCGGGCGCTCCTCGCACACGAAACTGGTGAGCTCAGGACCCCAGCCCCACCCCTCCCGCTCTCCACAGGGGTTTCTTCTGCTCCGATGGCCCGCAGCCCTCGCGCAACCCCAACACACGCACACACACATGCTCGAGTCCTGATGTCCACTTGAGCCCCAGAACAACCCCACGGGGCAGGCTGCCGCCGCACCCCCTTACTGCAGGCAGGCTGCCGCCGCACCCCGTTACTGCAGGCAGGCTGCCGCCGCACCCCCTTACTGCAGGCAGGCGGCCACCGCACCCCCTTACCGCAGGCAGGC